GACAAGAGAAGAATGAATCTTTACATTAAGTATCAGAGTTACTTTATTTTGAAAGGAATTATTTTATGCCCTTGAAGAGACAGCTACCCTACTGGCAGTGCTGAAATGTGCAGAGGTAGGCTTGATTCCCCCCAGTTTTACACCATGGCAGCTCCACAGGTTTTGATGGGGATTTCAAAGACATTTGCCGTATTGAATTAATGCAGTTCATATCCATGAATTAAAATTGCACCTCTCTAGAATAGATTGGCTGAACAATACAGCAGTGTACAAAAATTACCTCTGCTGCACTTTAAAATCTAATGAGTTGACACCTCTTTCTTTTCCCCTGTTTTATTTTTCTATCAGCCTTGTTAAATACATATTACTCTTTCTTGCTTTTAGGATCAAAGCAAATAGCCATCAACAATCTTTTGTTCACATGCGACAACACTTTCGGAGATGGTTTGTTTGGCCTGGTTAATTAAAAGCTGTACCTATCATCCCTGCTTGATTTCTCAAGTCCTTTACTTAAAAAGTATGTGTGACAATCTTAATGAGCTCTCATTTCTTCCCAGTCTCATGTCTTCTGCAGAAACATTGCAAACTCTTCTTTTTGAACATCACACAGAGATATGACTCCAGCAGGTCTTGGGTAGGCTCTTTGTTTTCTCTTTCTGCGTTTAATGTTTATCTTGTACACGAAGGGAGTCGCTCAGAGAGGACAAGGACGTGGATCAATCGAACAGAACAAGGGGACATTGCTTTACACTATGCTTAAATAAATCGGGGAAATACTTCTCACAAACTGTTCCAGGACTAAAGGTTTACAGAGGCTCAGAGGACTTTGGATTAATTCCTGCAGACAGATTTCATCCTATTTCGGAAAGGACTATCTCTGTTTCCAAACCCTGGGTTACAGGTCACTCGGTGCTGGGAAAGGATGCTGGTACCCACTGCTGCATCCTTACCCTGCCCTTGCCCTCTGCCTTGGGTGTCCTGCTGCTGGAAAATTGGCTAGACGTGTCTCTGAACTGGGCTTGAAGAGCTGTCCTATGTTCCTGTGATCCACGTGAAGAGAACTGCATGCAGCATACCCATGTTTTTGCAGGCAAAGTTCCCAGGCTTGTTACATACAGAATGATATTTCTGAGTATTTCTTTGTATGGATTATATTACTGGATTTTCATCTCTTCTTCTCCTCCTAGCAGCTTTGTTCTAATTGAGCTATTTACCCAGAGGTAGCACCTGTGTAATTCAGGCAGGAACATAGGTGTCAGCACTAGTCTGGTAAGAATTTAGGCATTTCGTAAGTCAGAGAAGCCAGTTTAGAATTAGGCTTATGCTTAAGCAATCCCTTGTTGCAGCAGGGCTTTATGAACAGCTGTATCCCAAGCAGCTCATTTCATTCTTCCTTCTCCTCCTCCTTTGGCAGGGATGCATTTATCAAATCTGCTTCAGATCTTTTTTTTTCCCCTCAACAGGCACTCATTTACTTATTGAGAGAAGTCCAGTTTTCCTGGCAGACAAAATCTACTTCTTGCATTATATTGGACAAGTTAAACTTCTCTTGTCTTGTCACGGTACTTGGAATTACTTTGTCTTGTGATGCAAATGCTAAGAATTATTATCTGTAGCCTTCAGGCAGCCTACAATGTTGTGAAAAGTAAGGGTTTTCAGCAAGCTTTTCAGCAGGTGAGACATGCATTTCACAGCTGCTTTTTAAATCGTTTGTCAGAGCTTGATCCGAAGCCAGTTAAAGGAGATACTCCTGTTGCCTGCAGAATCACAGTTTCATTATTTGAAAGACAAATGGAAGAGGATAAAGTGCAGCCTCTCTGAACCCACCCTCGGCATAAAGTCGTGGCTTTGGGGAAGTTTATGGCAACTTTGATGTTCATGGCAACTGGGTCGGTATTTCACATTGCTTTTTTTTTCTTGTGTTTGAAATGCATCATCTTGATTTTTTGCTGTGCTCTGCTTTCTCATCCCTCTGCTGACACAGACCTCAGTACAGCTGGAAATTACTCACTTTTTTTTTTTTTTTAATTCCCTTCCCTGCTAACTAATTACTCTGGAGTCCTTTGTGCTTTTACATAAATTCTGCCCGAGTATCTTATTTACTGCTAGCTCCCTAATTGTCTTTAGGTAGCGTGACCTCTGTTTCAGACACCTCAGAAGCTTTTATTAGCTCACGGTTTCTCTTTGCTAAGCTCTGTTTTGGTCCGTTAAAAGAGCCATTCCATCCTCATCCAGCCCAGTTGCTGAAACACGGTTTCAGAACAGCATTTTTTTCAGATCAAACATTACTTCGTCAGCTCTTGAGTGGGTACAAACACCTCTTAGTGGATAAACCAGGAAGCTGGGAATTATTCAGATCTCAATTCTTAATGAAGAATACAGGGAAAAAACTCTGAGCTAGACATGACTAAACTTCAGTGAAAAAACCCTAGCCAGACATCCATAGAGAGACTGTGCATTCAGAGATCCTCCCCTTTATTATTCTGTATTTTTACAGGCTGTTTTTCCTGTGTATTTACCTACAGTGGAAGTTTTTGGGGCCTGGGATAGTTTTTTTTTTTTGCCTCATCCCTACTTCTGGATTCCAGTTTTTACTTAGAGCTTTTAGTGCAACGGCAGTAAAAAGAACAGGGCATCAATGTTTGGTGGTGAGAAAGATGCTACAATGACTTGTTATAACTTGTTATTCAGGTATCCAATTTATGAAAATTTGCTGATTCACATTTGAATATCATTGGATACTGTCTGATGAAGCCACCATGTTTTAGCTAACCAGTCAGTTGAATCAACTGTTTTATCACCCGCAGCTTCTAATGAGGGTGTTTTCTTGTGGCTGGTGCAAACTGATCTGAAGAAATGCATCATTAATGCAAAGAAAATTGCAAAGGCAGAGTGAAATACTTACAAATGTTTCTTCTTATTTAAACCTGCCTTTTAAACACTGCCATCAGGTGTGTCCCCATACTGAGGGGGAGAGACAGCCTCAGTCTCTTGTTCTGATGCACAGTGTTGTGATGCCAGCAGAAAGGCTCAGTTCTTTTTTGCTTGTTCATCCTTCCTTCTCCTTAAAATGTCATTTAGTTGATACAACATTATACTGAAGAACATATTTTGTTGCTTCATATTTTGCTCCTCTCCAGTGTAAGAAGGATATTTGACGGATTATTAAACCCAAACTTATTTTCTCATTGTACTACAAATTGCACGAAACAACTGCTGCAGTACCTGGTCATTATTGCCAAGGTAACAATGATTTTTCATTCAAGCCCAAATCCTTTCCCCTCGCTGCTCCACACCCCCGTGAGAGAGTGCCCAGCACCACAGGGACAGCTCAGCTTTTTCCATTCCTAAATCCACCCCTGCGCAGGAGCAGATCTTTCGGCAGGGTAAACTCAGACAGGAGTGGGAGACATGAAACTGGGGGGATGTAAGCGAGAAGACCGCCAGAAATCCAAGTCTAGTGCTTCTCTCCATCAACTAAGAGGCTGGGAGCATGTAACGGGAAACAGAACAAGGTCTAATGTGTGTTACACATATAGCTACAGGCGTATAAATACCAGAGTGGAACGTAGCAAGACAGTATGATGTTTTTTGTGTGTTTAATGGCTATGATGTTACCGCCAGCTTCAACTTCTGCTCTTGTTATTGTTCTTTTCCTTTAATAATTCATTACGTCATCCAGTCTTATGTTGTTAGTAATAAATATTAAATACCCAAGCAGTGAGGCATGAATTAGATTATTTCTTTTTATAAAAGGATTTTTGGATTAGATGTAAATGTCAATTAAAAGAGGAATATAAAAAAAAAGCAGTGCTTCTGTGAGCGCTGGCATGAATGAAGCCTGGTTTTCTGTGGATTTGTGACTTGCAGCTGGATCTTGTCAGAAGTAGTAAAGTGTGGCATTTGATGCCTACTAAAGAGTGTGCTTGTGTAGTGGCCTCACTGGCAATAGGGGCTGTACAGAGAGACCCTGACCTCATTTTCGTAGAACTTTCAGGAACTTCATGTCTTTCAGCCCGCTGTACTTCTAAACTGAGAAAAAAATGGTTGAGAACTTTGACATCTAGCAGGTACATCAGGTGGGTAGAAGAACTGACACAAAATTAACAAAACATTATAGCATAATATTGGTTTCTGTCCAAAAGTTCATTGCTCACCCAATTCAGTTTTCATATTGAAATTCTCTGCCTTTGGTAGATATGTGTTCTGTATGTTTGCGAAGAACATCCCAAAATCCTGAAGAGCCATCCTTGTGCGTAACAGCAAAACGATGCCAGGCGTGCAGTGAAAGCTTACCTAAGGAAAACATATGCCAAACTCTGTACTGACTTACATCCTAAAGTATCTCATTGATGTAAGGAAGCATATGAATAAGCTTAGAAATTAATTTTGTCCATAAAACCCAAGAGTGGTCCCAAAATCACTATTAAATGCACTTTACCCAATACTCTGCAAACTGGTGTAAACAACATAGTGACTAATAAGGTGATTTGAGGGCCCTATGAGGCAGCGATGTATTTGATTTGGCTCCTTGGCTTGTGAGATGGCATTTCAGCATCTCAGCTAGTCTGCTAATATCTTTTAATAATCCCGACAAAATTGCACAGGCAGCTGGGCTCAGACACATTATTATTACATAGGAGCACTGGGATCTGAAAAAGAAGCCCCCCATGGTAAAATATAGCACAATTAGGTAACAAGTTGGGTCCTTGTTCTTTCTCCTGAGACTCCAAATTTTGCTGCAAGAAAGTCAGCTAGCTAGGTTAATGGTCAACTCCAGTATGTCAACAGAACATTCCTAATATAGAAATCAGTAATAAGAAGAGGTGAAAATTGGTCGATGCATATTCAGCTTGCTGTAGCAGAGAAAAAGTGCAAAGGAAGCATTTAAAAATTAAAAGTAACACTGTATGTCTATTACTGTTCCTGTAACAGAAGTATTTTTTGCTTCTTCTTTGTTTGTTTATTTTATTTTATTTTATTTTATTTCATTTCCCCAGGGTCAGCTTACTAGAGGATGGCAGCCTCAGGCTCCATAACATCACCAAATCAGATGCCGGGGTGTACACTTGTATAGCAACAAATCAGTTTGGAGTGGCGAGAAGTTCAGGGAACCTGGTTGTGAAAGGTACTTTAGTATTTTCATTTGTGATTTATGGATATTGGAAAGCATATGCTTTTTTTTCATTGGGATGCCCAAGTCTGTGCCAATCAGTGCTAGTATTGACAGGTTTTTACTTGCAGTTTAAAACTGGAACTGAGCTGTCCACTGCTTGCAGCAAAGAAAACCTCATGACCACACCATGCCGATGATCAATTTTTTTATCAAGGAGGTCTCTCAAGACATCCACAGAAACATCTAGTAACACTAGTAATGATATTTGCACTGCAGTACCATTTGGACATCGCAGGTGTGGCTGCACTGTTGCAGGCATTGGGCAGGCAGAGTTTGAAACGACGCCAAGGCAGTGTGGAGGTTCGGTGTGCCCGGTGAGTTTATTTGGCTCATTTACAATTTATATCACATCTGAGACTGTGGAAGAGATTTTAAACCTGGGGTTCCAGAAGGAAATAAGATCTTTGCATCCCAGCTGTTGCGCACTGCTTTAGTAAAGAACTCCTAAGCCAACCAGAGCCAAGCAAAAACTCTTCTTTGGCCCTTCACAAGACTTTGGATTCTGAATATTAAAAATGCCATCTTCCACAGCCCTCCCCCCCCAGGCTAACTGCTACGTTAATAACAAAACAGGGGATCTGTTAGTGTATCTTCTACGCTTTCAGACTAATTTGTTTTCCTGGCTATTAATACAAAGACACCTCATTTCACAGGATATCCCTTTGTCTGAAAACATTTTATTTTTTTGTTTATGTTTTCTTACATCAGACTTTGGTTTAGTTAAAACATTTCAACCATTAACTACAGGTTACTGCACCTAAACAGATCTTTTTCTGAAGGGAGAATGAGGAACATCCTCCTCTCACATTACCATTATTTTGTTCTCCGTGACGTATATGAGATAAAATTTTGATTCTCTCCTCAAAAACACAGTGACTCACCTCTTTGAGAGTCATCACTATGAACTTGTCCCATCAGGATCATTATAAGAAGGTCAATCCTACATCTGCCAAGGCAAAATGACTGATGGGGTCTGATGAGATGTGCGGCAGTGCAACTACCCAGTTATGCATGAAGTTTCCCAAACTTTGTACGGATGTCAGGAAGCACTGGCCTGACTTCAGAGCACCTCTAGCTCTAATGCAAGTCATGCTTTCTTCTTCTATTTTTCCTTTCTTTCCCCCCTTTTTTTTGATCAAGGCACTAAGTGCAGGTAACTGTCTGCCAATCATACTTTGTAGCACTTGCATATAAAACAGAAATAACCTTTAGGACTGGAAAACCGGGTTTCTTCTTCCATTCTTTCCCCTCTCTATGTTTACTGTGTGCCCTCACTGCGAGGGACCGAACTTCCCCCAAGCTGCTGCTTTCTTTGCTCTCAGCTCTTCTCAGCTGGAGTGGAAGTGTACAAACTCATGGCTGAGAGGAGTGGGAGACACAGGGTTCACAGTCCTTGACTGGGAAGGACTTGGTCCTGGGTCTTCTGTGCTCTGGATGAGGACTGTAACCACGAGGCTCCAACCGTTAGTGTGAGAGGTGGAGAGCCCCCAGGTTGCTGTCACTTGGAGGAGTGTGCTGCTTGCCCAGGAAGGCGTGCACTCACAGAAAGGGACCTTCTGTGCAAGATCCCACTTGGGTGACAGTTCTGACTTGCTGCCAGCCAAAGCTGCAGCAGGCACAGAGGGCGGTTGGGCAAGTGGCTCTGTTTGGCTTCTCCTTTTGAGCTAGGCAATTTATTGAGCAGTCTGTGCTGCTTTTGGATGGGGGTCTAAATCCTCCCACTGAAAACAGTGACAACTCCAACAACTAATCCAGCTTTTCAGACCACCTCGGTGAGGCCAGGAGTTTTATTTGTAGATGTTGTGATGCTTTTGTGAGAGCTGTATAAATATCTTCCCTAATGGCCATCCTGTGATTATCAATTTAAACATGCAGAAAACCACCTTATGGGCTAGGAGACACATCCTATCTAATGGTCCCACCTGCTGCAGTTCTCCTTCCCCCCAGAGCTGCAGCTGTGTCTGCGCTGGGGCTGAGCTCCTGGTGTAACCGCATGCTCAGCTCCAGTCCCAACCCAGTGATGCTCTGCAGGGCCGTGTCTTCCCTGCAATATTTTTCACCCTTCTTTGAAACACAGTTAAATACATCGTGAAACACATTCAAGTATATTATGACCAAAGTAGTGGCTTCAAGTTTTTGCTGTGTTGATGGATGGTCTATCTCTATTAGTAAAAAGAAATTGTACAAAGTTATTGCTCAGTTGGACTAGTCCAGAGCTGGCAGACATGAAAAGAGATATGGTTTGCACAGATATTCCTACGAGCAGTAAGTGAAATGATTACGCTCTGTTTCCTCTGATTTTTGATCACTGACAGAAAAAAAAGAAGGAAAACGGAGGCAAACAGCAAGTGTTTTTTCTCTTTGCTTCTGCACAATCTTTTCAGTACAGACATCTTCTTACAGAAGTATTCATATTTATTGATTTTAGATGTGGACAACAAGTTTAAAAGTGGAACTTGTGAGACTATAGTAAGCATATGTATCAGTTTTGCAAAACAGTTAGCTATAATGATGTCTGTAGTTACAAGAACAGCACATTATTAAATGTAGTATGTAACTCTCCTTTTTTCTCAAAATTCTTGTTTTCAGTGACTTCAGCATGGTTACTGTAGCCTGCAGACACAATCTTCTCCCTAACCTACTGCAGCTGGCAAAAATCTTTTTCGTACTCATATTATGAAAGGCAATTAACATTGATGCAGTGCAGTGTGTAATCCGAGACGATGCTACAGCACAGCTAGCAATGAATAAACTAAGAAGTTTAGGGTTTAGCCACTCTGACTTCGTTAAGGTTATATTCCATTTCACATATCACATCCATACATCCTAATGGAGCAATATGGGAAAATCGCATTAAAACATGAAAAAAATGTTTTGTCTAGCATTTATGAAATTTATTAAAACACTGAGTAACAACATGGTATATAAATGATCTTGTTTGCAGGGAACATTTGTTTTTGTTTCCCCTCTGGAGAAGTTTTGGCTGTTCAATTATAGGCCTCATTGCTTCAGCATTATTTTCAACTGAAATGTCAGAACTTGGAAAAGCATATCTAATGTGCAAATTAAGTTTATTGCTGCTCATTGAGTTGTTTATTCTTTGTGTGAGAAGTCTTTATTATACCTACAGCACTCACAACATCTTATCTGTTTTCTCCTCTGGAATGGGATTTGCCATATAATGCATGTCTGCAGTTGCTAAGCAAGATAGATAGATAATGTAGAACCAAGAGCTTTTAAGAAGCTTTTAAAAGTATTTGAGGTGGAAGTCTTAAAGACAACCGCATAAAAGAAGCAGAAAATATCACACAGATGAACCACTTTACATCAGTGGTATCACTGGATATGAGCAGGCTACAAGGGATACAACAGGATGATAATACTATAATAAAATGGATTTTTTTGCTGACACTACTGAAAATACACACCTCACACACAAACCCAGTACAATTCACAAAAGGACAGTTTTAAGTATTTATGTGGTGGAGGCAAATAGGCTCAGGCCAACTAGATAGTAGAATTCTTGTAATACTAACAGCGTATAGCTATTGGGATATGTTGTGTTACAAGCAGAAACCTTTATGTTCTGATATTCCAAAATACCAGTTCATTAGAGAGTTCCATGGAATGCATTTTTTCAAAATGTTTATCTTTTCCCTAAGGAGGCATTTCATAGCTTTTAACAGATAAATGATCTCTGGAACTTTTATTCCTATTAATAAGATTCTATAACAAGATTGCAGATATCTTATTTCTGATCTCTTTGAATGTGTGATCAAATAATGACACAAGAAATGAGATGACAAACCTAATGAGGCAACCATAATATTATTGGAACCTCCTGATGAAGAAAAGTTTCAAAAAATTCCCAGCCACTTTCATTGCAACCAGCTGGAGCTAATGACCCTTCCTGTACAATAGGCAACTGCCTTTGACGGAAGCTTAAAGATTTTAAAAAAAACAGGACATCATTTTCTATCTGTATTCTATGGGGTTTAGAATGTAACCATAGAATCTGATAACAAATTCTATGCAGTCCTGTTTGTGTCATTCTTACTTATTCTTACCTTGACCTTTCCATAGAAATAAATTGATTCTATTCATAGTATTTTATTTATTTATAGAGTCCTATAATTGTACACAGTGCGTTGCAGAAGAGTCAAAATGCAGCGATCCTGGTGACCAACCATCCAATACAGAGAAGCAGGAGCTAGGAAATGAGGCAGCATTAAGTCTTGTGGCAGTAGAGGTGATGCGGGTCTTGTGGAGGTTAGACATTCGAGAGAGAAATTTGAAGGATGAACAGTACTTGACACAAGGAAAAATCAGTAGTGGTGCAAAGTTTTATTAATGCTGAATGAACTAAAGCAGAAAAAGTGAATTTCACCCCTGGTATAAGTGCTTGATTCGGAGTTTTAGCAGAATACTCAATTCGAAGGGTATCTTCAGGGTGTCATCAAAGCACTGCAAAACAGATACATCCAAGTCAGCTTTAAGCAAGACAGATAAAAGAACAGCAGCAGTTTATATCTGGGAGCAAGGAGCTCATGTCAGGCTTTGGGGACTACCCGAAAGGCCTGGGAAGGTGGACCCTGTAACCACCGTTTACTCATGTCGAGATATCGAGTGTACCAATGGAAGGCTGGGGAAACATGCTGTTGCCAATCTAATTGATTTACATTGTAAAAGAGCTTTTTTAGGGCCAATCCTCTCCATTGCCAGGGGCTGTTGCACTACACAGGAGGCAGGAGCTGTGGAGGGGACCCTCTGCAGAGATTTCAGAGGAGCCAGTTCCCACCTCCTTGTTCTCCTGGATAGGTCAGACCCAGGGGCTACAGGAGGTGAGAGACAGCCCAAGCTGACTTGCCAGACCCTTAAACACCCTCTTGTAAATCAGGCTCAACCTTTTGCATCATTTGTGAGTGAATATATGTGGAGACATCTCTCCTGTACAGCTGAAGACAGAGCAGACCAAACCCAAGTGGAGTCTGGAAGAAAGCATACCATAAAAGTTCAGAGCACTGTAGAATTTCCACTTTGAGGTTGATCGTGGTGTTCTGGGGAAGACTTTCCTTCTTCAATGACATGTTTCACCAGCTTTAAAAGCTCAGTGTGGAGATGCACTGCAGTTTATAGGTTCAAGGCAGGAAATAGAGGTTTACAGTATGGCTTTGAAGGAAGAGATGATGAGTTTGGAGGACCACAGCAGGCCAGCAGATCATGCGTCTATACCTGCTAGTGGCAAAAAGACGTTCCAGCTATCATGAAAACAGCTTTCCAACTTTTAACGTATAGCACAGCATTGCTTCTTTTTTCTTCTAGTATCATATACAGCATTATTGCACATAATAGAATTTCTCTCCTTAAAGTGTTATTCATGCAGTTCTATTTCAGCTGTGAAAACAAGAAGTACAGGGGGAAAAGCAAGAAAAGAAAACTTTATGGAGGTTCTCTGCAGTTCCCAGACACTTTTCAAAATTATTCTGTAAAAGTTACCTGTACTTCGCAATGGAATTACTTCATTTAAGATTTATGGAGCCGAGTTCTTTGCCAGCGTGTGCTGACATCTGTGGAGCTGCGCCAACAAAGAATCTGGCCCTTGAATCATCTGGAATTTATTGCGTCTGACACACTTCTTCCAGGGAAAGGGAGAGATTTCTCTAACCTAATGATTGAGTATCTTTAAGACAGTCATCTGAGGCCTTCACATTTTTGCAGTCCTTGACTTCAGACAGACTGATGGAGCTGCCACAATGATAGTTTTACGTGGTTGTGAAGAGTAATCAGAGCACACAGAGGAATCTGAGAAAGCCTGTTCCAAGTCTGAGATCTAACCCACGACAAGAACCTCTGACGATCTCTTAATGACACCAGGAAAAAACACCTAATTTATCTATAAAAATAAAAATCAGATAAGTCCTTTCTTTGTTTTTCTTGGAAAACTTTACTTGATGCCCGCAGCAGGTATATCACTGAAGCTAGTGACACCCAGTTTTTTATTTTGAAAGGTGAGCAGAAAATGCAACATTCTGTTTTGTTTTTGCTTGACCTCTGCCATAAGAGTCGCTCATCCAGCACAGCTTAGATGCTGGGGAGAAGCCCTTGAAGTTTTAGCCCCTATCGCCTGTCTGTACCTGTGTATGAATCAGACACGGCAATGACGGTGACTGAATGAAAATGTGTTTGAAGGTAAGCGGTTGGGTGCCCTATCGTTTATCAACCCTTTGGAACGAAGGCCTTGGTAAAACCAAAATTCTGAATTTTCAAGTGCATTTTTACAGGGTTAAGCCAGGATGAATGCTGAACTAATGCAGCTTGTGCAAAGTTTCTTCTCCTCTCACATCATTTTCAGAATGTATTAATATTGTTGAATAGATTCTGCTCTCATGTTGTGCATCTGCCTCTAAATTCTCACCATTTTATAACACTTTCATGCACTAAAGCTTTGTTCAAGGGAATTGCTTACAACAACATGGTTGTTATCTCTAATCTATCTGCCAGACATCTCAACAAAACTGAAGCCATACAAACCTATTTCTTTCCTCTTCAGCGAGCTACTACTTGCATTAAGAAGAGCTGTAAGTTTGATTCTTAGTGTAAGGGGTTAAAAAAGATTACGTACATGGTTTTTCTGTCTGTGAAGATACCTTCTTTGAAGCTGTAACAGAAGAATCACTGTGCAGTAAACTAACGCTAACATTAATATAGATTGAGGATCTCAACTATAAAGTAAGCGGAGATGGAGAGCAATTTCGCTTTTGCTGCAGTATCCTGTAAGGAAAGATTTTCAAGTTTGAAGAACCCTGGGCATATTCTTTACAGTCTTAAGAATGAAATCTGCACTTTTTGAGCTGATATCTATTGACTCTGGGCTTTACAAAGTAACATATGACTAATTTAGCAGGTTGCCTCTGACATCTGCTCGCTCTCAGAGGCACACAGCGTGCTCATTGTATTGATACTGCAAAAGTAATAGGCTACACATGGGTAAGAGTGTTCTGAAATCATCATCATATTAGAGATAATTTTCTTTATTATGGAACATTTGGGCCAATTTTAAATCATTTCACAAATGGTACAAAACTAATTCAAGACCTACTATTTTTATAAGCATTTTAATAAAAAGATTTTTTTTTTTTTGTCTCCACAGAAAGGACTGTAATTACTATTCCACCTTCTAATATGGATGTAACAGTTGGGGAAAGCATAGTTCTTCCATGCCAGGTGTCTCATGACCCCTCTGTTGATGTGGTGTTCATGTGGTCATTCAATGGCAATAGAATCGATTTTAATAAAGGAATACATAATTTTGAAAGAATTGGAAGAGTAAGTTTCTTAAACTCCTTAGTGCTTAATGAAACTATTTGCCACAGTCTTTAGACGACGCAAATATTTATCATAATTCTTCCATCGTTATTTATATGCAGGGCAAATCACTGTTTCTTTACAAGGGCTGCAGCCATTTATTTTTCTTTCTTATATTTCATAAAGGCGCTTGAGTTATTTGTGAAGCCATAATAAAAATGTCCATATGAAAGAAACTGATGATAGCTATGAATATTTTAATTTAAAAGCTGCATTTTTTTATTAATATTGAGCAATTTATAAAAATATCCAGTATGGAAAACATGTTGTGAGTGATTAGTTTGCTTTCTTTGTATCTCCAGGAATCTGTTGGGGATTTGATGATAAGAAATATTCAGCTACATCATTCTGGGAAGTATGTGTGCATGGTACAAACAACTTTAGACAGTCAATCTGCAACAGTAGATATCACTGTGAGAGGTATGTCTGTTACATGTAGACACACGTGTCTTCTGGAGGAATTAGAAATTCTTAACATCAGCTGTTAAGTGATCACTAGGATAACAATTCAACATTTCAACAGAGAAATCCTATGTATCTTGTACCCTTGGCCGCCACATTGGATAAAAGGTTCTAGGCAGCACAATCCTAACATGCAGCTGACCCAGGGAGATCTGTGCAACTCTGTCATGGCTTCTTTGGAAGGTCAACGTTTCTGGCCATGCAGCAGAAAGAGAAATGCGGTTATGGGAGCAGATCCTCTAAACCCTAACAGAAATCAGAAACCTGTATAGTGCATCATCTTGCATTCTTTCTAAACCTCAGTTTTGATTAAATACAACAAGAATTCTGAAAATGTTGGATAGTTCAGCAAAAGACACATTGGGCAATTTTCTTTGTCAGACAAAAAAAAAATCCCTTGTTTGCAGTTTTCATATTAGAAATATAAAGACATTCATTTTCCTGACTCAAAACCCCTCAGTAATTAGAAAAATGTAATACAGGCATGAAGTCATCATGTAGGGATTGTGTTGCTTTCATGAAATTGCAACTTCATGAAGAATTCCACTGACTTGAGAAATTAAGAGCTACCCAACCCAACACAGCAATGAATCTTCTCTTCCTAATACCTTCATCTTAAAATGCTAATCATATTAGGCCCCCCAGGTCCACCAGAAGATGTTGAAGTTGAACATATTACTAGCACTACTGCTGTGTTATCCTGGAAGTCTGGAATAGATAATAATAGTCCAGTCCAGTTCTACAGTGTTCAGATGAGGACTCCTTTCTCAGTTGGATGGCAGGCAGTTACAACAGGTGAGCAATTTGAGAGTTGCCTTGTATTTTTTGCATATAACATTAATTACTCCAAAAATAAATTGTCACAACATGTTTGTTTCACCTTTAGTTCCTGAAGTCATTAATGGTAGGACTCACAAGGCGACCGTGGTTGACTTAAGCCCCTGGGTTGAGTATGAGTTTCGTGTGGTTGCCAGCAATAGTGTTGGAATTGGGGAGCCAAGCAGACCATCAGCTCTACTGAAAACTAAAGCAGCAGGTAAGTACCTAATTTTTGTCATTTTTTTCCACACAGACACATTGCCAGCTCCCAGGTGTGAGAATTTCACTGCAGCAGAGCCATTCACTCCTACAGGGTTACTTTCATATCTGTCTAGCATTTTAGTCTGTGACTGCTATGGCTTCATGACAACAGACCTGCACTACCAATGCAAGGGATTCTTGGGCAGAATTGAGGTACCGCACACGTTGCTCTCTGGGTTGGAGATAAAGCAATAAAGGCTGGAGCTGGCTCATGCTTCCTCTCTTTGATATGTCCCAAAATGTCCCAAAATCTATCTAATCCCCATGCCTGAACACAAGCTTTCATTCAGGCAATTGGGGAGCAAAATTTGTTTTCTTCCAATTCTAACTGCATTTATACCCTGCTCAAGGACTTGCATAGAAAACGATAAAGGCAGCTCTCTGGCATATCCTAGCACGAGGGTATAATGCCTTTGCTGCAGAGGATGTTTGACATCTGAGCATCAGTAGGGACAGGATATTGGCTTTAAATGGAGACAATAAATTACAGCATCCAAAGCCCAATGAAATTAATAGCTTCCACTGAATCCAGGGCGGGATCCTTACTATCTGTCTAACCTTTACACATTTATCTTCTGAGACTTGGAACCTCATAGGAAGAAGACTCATTCTTGGATGACCGTCACTGTTGGTCCGTCGACCTACTCAGTTTGGTAGAATTTATTTGAAGAAAAATCCTTTGGTTAGTTCCATTTCTCCCAGCCTCCTGCTCATCAATCCTCTCCTCCTATAAAATCATTAATTACAGGATGGAAAGCAGTAAAATGGAAGCAGCTTTGCAATCCGCTTTCTCTTCTCTGTTTTTCTCGTTTGCAGAGATCTGAAGTTTAGCAAGATGCATTTCAAGGCAGAACTCAAAATATAGTATTGTACATTGTACAAGAGAAAATACATATATCCTTAGAAAGGAGGATCCATTCATTTCTCAGAATACCTATAATGTTTGTCCAAAGTATTAATATTTGTCAAGATGTATTAAATCAGTTGATTTATATTTAATAAGTTCTTTTTCCTGTTGTTGAAGCAAAAATTTATACTGAGTACTGATGCCAGAAAAAAATATTTGATCTTTAGAATACCATTTTTGATAAATTTTGTCAGCTTTCCAAGTGCTGAGAGACATTAAATGAGTCTCATCAGCAGTCAGGACTGCTTGGCCAGTGTGGTACTAAAGAAGATTGTAGGCTGCTCCCGAGGAAAGCAAAGAGGAACAACAAGGGAAACTCATGGGTTGAGACAAAGACAGTTTAATAAGGCAACAAAGGAAATATTAATACTCTAATCATAATAGTAATGAATATGCAAAGCAAACTATATACAATATGATTTTTCTCACCACCCGATGACCAATTTGCAGTTAGTCCCCGAGCAGCAATCACAGAATGCCAGACTTGGAGATACTGTGAATTTTGCAAAGCTCCTGAAAAGGACTGAATTCCTGGCAAAGTTTGAACTCCTGGACAACAGAGGATTTGAACTGAAGGAAAAAAGAAAGAGCAGATTCCTCCTCCCCCCCCCGAGCCAACCCCCATTCATAAGCTGAGCATGACATCCATGGTATGGAATATTCCCATCAGCCAGCTTGGGCTGGCTGTCTGGCGGTGCTCCCTCCCAGCTTCTGCACACCTGCTCATTAGTGGAGTATGGGACACTGGAAAAAGTCCTCAGTTTCGTAGCAAAGACTATAAACATAGGTGTTATCAACATTCTTCTCCTACTAAATCTAAAACACAGCAGCTACTGAGAGGAAAATTAACCCCATCCCAGCCCAAACCAGGACAGTCTTCAGATGGTCTTTCTTGCTGTTTGTGGTATTCAAAACTAACTATAAAATCAGTAAAAGCTTTCATCTTTTAAAGCTTTTTTTTTTATTAGAGGGATTCAGAAGGCTAGGGCTAGAAACAGAAAGAAAAAATAGAAATATTATTTATCATGTCAATAGCACAAGGAACATTTTTTCCTTACAGTGTATCACCATGTTAAGCTTAAAGAAGGAATAGAAAGACACACTTCAGGTTTTGGTTTCTTAACCCATTCACTAACGTAGATCATTCTGTCTCAAAACATTGCTGTGCAGTGGGAGAAGTAACAGCTTATCTTTATCAGAATAGGAAACTGAAAACAGTGTGACAGTGTGGACAGCCAAAGTCTTGCCATGAAAGGGTGAATTTGAATTTCGCTGTTATAATAGCTATTTTGCCAGCTGAAATCTGAGCATTAGTAGATTTGTGGATGCAAATGAGCCGCTGTTCATTTCGTTAAAATGGAGCTGAGAATTAATTGAGCCTCTCTTGGTGCACTCAGCTGTAAATTCTCGTCTTTTTCTCAACTATGACCCAGTTGAGGCTCTGATGAACAGTAGCACAAATTTTTTCCCCATGCAAACGTAGTAAGTACTGAACACATTGAACACATGAACTAATTGAGCATCAACTGTTTCATGAAACAGCGAAACATTAGGCTGGAAAGTCTGTTTTGTCATTTTTGCCTTTAATACAGTTCTTCCCATTCTGGGGTTATTTGCCTCAGATGTGCACAAAGACGTTGACTGTGAGTGACAATACTGAATACGTATGCTAAACTCCCCCAAAGAGCCTGTCTGTTTGCACTTGCACTCACTTTTAGGACTGCACAACAAAATTATCGTGACATTTCGACGTTTCTAGAGAGGATGAAATCGGATAAAGGTTTATATGTGGACTTCAATCTAGAAGTGATAGTGGGTTCACATATATTTCTGTGAACTTAAAGGGCTGTTGGCTTTATTGCTTTCGTTAGAGCTGGGCTAGCTCTGGGTGGGAGACTTGGGGAAGGACAGGTGGACGTGGCGAAACTTGTCAAAGTCTCTGAAAAATCTTCTGAGATAGAACTGTCCTGCCCGTTTCTGACCCTGTCCTCAGCCCTGTCTCAACACATCCAATTTTCAGACAGTGAGAACTGAACGAAGGGAAAGACGAAACAATCTTAAAATTTCTAAAAATTGTACCAAGGGTTTAGAGATGGTAAACAGTACAAATGCCTGCTTACAGGGGGTTTCTGTCTCAGTCATTTCCAGAGTTGTCCTCTTGTTCATACTTCTCCAGCACCTGAAAAGGAACACGATATCTTCCTTGCAAGTAGATCTGTAGCGAACTATACAGTAAGAACAAGGCTGCTCTGTCTAAATTCCAGCCGTTACATCACAAACCAGTTCCCCAGAACTGCCAATATTTATAGGCTAATGAGGTGGGCGTATTTATGGAAATACAGAGCAAGAGGCAAGAAATTCTGGTATTTTCCTTGCCTCTCTACCAGGAGCCGTTTGAGTGATGAGAAATCCTTTCAGCGTGGGACACCAGCACATTGCTTGACCTTGACCCTGTACCTATGGTGCCATACACCTGGAGCAATGCTGGGGACATCAAGCTCTAATCAATGAACTTTTGGACACTTGCGGTGCTGGGAGAAGGAGAAAAGCAAATTAAGAGTGTTAAATTTCCTAAGAAAAGCATACAGCCAATTAAAAAAATTAATATATTGCTCCAACAACATGTTTGCTGAACAAATGCATAATTAGTAAATCGGTAGTGTTGCAGCTACAGTCTGAATGGAACATCATTTTGCCAATTAGTTGATGAGGCATAATAATGTCAGATACTTGATGCTACTAGCTTCTTTAATTAATTTTGTGAACCAGGGTACTCATGTATCAAATACATCTGTGGCTTCAGCCTTATAAACTTGAAAACGTGTAAACATAATTTCAGTTCATTTAAAATGTACTGTTACATAATGTAGTCCCTCTTCTACATGTTGGAAGGCAGAATAGCTGCATGTGAGCTACGAAAAACTCTAATCCTCCAGCTGACAAGACCCCCAGCAGTAGCGGTGGGTAGTCGGAAGCACCAACATCTTTTCTTCTCCAGTTCCTGTCGTGGCACCAACGAACGTCGGCGGAGGAGGAGGGAGCCGTTCTGAGCTGGTCATCACATGGGAGGTAATTGCTAGCTCAATTAAAGTACAAATTCTAATAGGGAAGAGTCCATGGGTAAAATCACTGCTCTGCTAAAATCTGAAGGCTTCTGGTCCTTGGCTTTGGCTGAGCCTGGATTTCATCCTGCATCTGAAGAGAAAACAGCCTGTAAGATATACAGCAAGTTTTCTGTGTTACAGTGAACAATTTATAAAAATAAACAGTTTAAGAGGCATGTTATAAAGATGTTTAGAAGTCTGTATAACCCTCTTATCTCCATTGTACAGGAGGCGCTTAACACACTAATCTGCTTGGCCATTTTCTGCATTAACATTTTTCATACTTTTATTCACATGTTTTTCATTCTGGAACACTGTGCTGACAAGACATATCCTATTATGCGTTAAAGGAGATGAGCCCTTTAATTCTCCAGCACTCCAGCAAGACCAGAGAATATACATTTTGAGAACATTTAATACCATACTACAAGTTGCAATGGGTGAGCACAGGTCGTTTCAGAGAGCGGAAAGTAAGCATTGCGGGAAGGAGCCCTCTTTCTCCAGCCACCCAGCAGCCTTCTCATGGGCAGGCAAAATCTTGCAAAGCCCATGCAGTGATGGGGCAGGTGCTTGGTTGGGGCTCCAGCCCTTACGGAAAAACTCCCCAAAACACTGCTCCTACCTGCTTTTTTCATCACCGCTGAAAAACACGTGTGAAGTTAATGTGCATTAAGAGCACTGGGGTACACTAAGAGGAGTGTGGCCAGTAGGTTGAGGGAGGTTCTCCTTCCCCTCTACTCTGCCCTAGTGAGGCCCCATCTAGAGTACTGTGTCCAGTTCTGGGCTCCCCACTTCAAGAAAGATGAGAAGCTACTGGAGAGAGTCCAGCGGAGGGCTACGAGGATGAGGAGGGGACTGGAGCATCTCTCCTACGAGGAAAGGCTGAGGGAGCTGGGCTTGTTTAGCCTGAAGAAGAGAAGGCTGCGAGGGGACCTAATATATGCTTATAAATATCTTCAGGGTGGGTGTCAGGAAGATGGGGCCAAACTCTTTTCAGTGGCGCCCAGCGACAGGACAAGGGGCAATGGGCACGCACAAACTGAAGCACAGGAAGTTCCAGCTGAACATGAAGAAGAACTTCTTCACTCTAAGGGTGACGGAGCACTGGAACAGGCTTCCCAGGGAGTTTGCAGAGTCTCCTTCTCTGGAGACATTCAGACCCCGCCTGGACAAGGTCCTGTGCAGCCTGCTCTAGGTGAGCCTGCTTCGACAGGGGAGTTGGACTGGATGACTCACAAAGGTCCCTTCCAACCCCGACCATTCTGTGATTCTGTAATGTGACTCACCTAATCAAATCTCTCCCTTGGTTTTGAGGGCATCTGGCTGAAGTAGGAGCTACCCCGTGCCACCAGCAGCACACAGCTTGGAGGCCAGGGGCCAGGCAGCCTTGCCATGTGTCTTGCTCTCAGGTGTGACAGTCTCAGAGACTGCACAAGCTGACCTCTCTTTAATTCCAAATCTGAGATGGGGCCTTCCAAAACACGGTGCTCCCTTTGTAAGTCATGGAAAACATTTCTTCATAAAAAAAAAAAAAGACTTCTAGTTCTGCTTAAGTGAGGAAAGCACTCTTCTCTCTCCCTTGGCTTCATTCTTTTTCCAAAGAAATAACCAACTTATGTGTACAGTTTGAAGGAAAGGAAAAGGAAATAAGTTAAACTAGAAATGACGCTATTCATCAGCTGAATGAGTTCCCTGTGTTCTCCTATATGCTAAAAACTGTGCCATTTAACCAGCCTTTTGTAGGAGGAAGGGAAGTGATAGGAAAAAAAAAATGAGGTCAAAGAAAAAAGTGCTTGCTGGATAGATAACATTTCCAATGCTTTCCCCTCTCCAGGCTCTAAACAGAGTGAAACTTCACTTTCACTGAACTACGTTTCCCTCCATACACATATTTCACTGTTTTGTTTCATCTTCTCCTCTACTGATCTACTTTTTGGCAGCAGCAGAACATGAAAATTGAGAGCAACCTAAGAGATCTCAACCAAATTATCCTGTCAGACTCCATAGTGTGTCCTGAAAAATAGTCAGAAGAAATACTAATTACGCCTAGCTAACAACACTGAGCACAACTCTCCAGCTTTCTGTGATGAACTCACTAAACATCTTGATTAAATCTGAGGTCACAGAAGCCTCAAAAACAAATTAAATGCTCTAGAAAGGATCTTGAACTCCTATAAATCCCCAGTGCACCATCATCCCTCGAGCTTAACTCTCTTGGGACTGTACAAGAGATAGAAGGGGGCATATTGGGGAATTAATCTTTGTAAAACACTTAAGGAAAGACACACTTGTTTTATACATTTGAATTAGAAAAAATTTATGAAGAAAAGAATAAAATAAGTCCCCTGATATCTTCTGATGTACTTCCTGATTTTTTTTCTCCCATCTTCTCATGCTGTTAGTGCTCCTGGGAGTTTCTCTGCAGGAGAGGATCTTGGAGCCAGGAACGATCATAGGGGCTGTGGTCCTGCCCCTATGTTTTTCTCTCTCTTTTTGTACCTTTTTTTGTGGTTGCTTCTCTGTGCACCTTACTTCTGTGCAAGCATTTAAAATAAATGAAGTTTTGCTGAGAAACACTTCCTTCCTCCATTTACTATTGATCTTTTCTTGTTTCATAAACATTCTCTTGCTTCGGGAAGCCAATGCAGAAGTATTTTTATTCCAAGAAAACAAAAAAGTTCATGCTGGATACGGTGTTAATGTGATTGCCTGTTCAGTATGAGTCATTAATGCGTATCTTGACATGAGATTTTATTAATAGAAACATTAATTTTGTCATGTTGACTTGCAATAACATTTCTGTTCTAAACAAACTTAAATAAGAATATGTTCATGCACTCGAGACTTGCTTGTGCTAAAAAAATACATAAATACTGGACTCATACGCAGGCAATTATACAGCTGACGCACACTTCTGTGTATACATTTGCTCCTTTCCCAACTCTTTTTTTTTTTCTTTAAAAATCATTTATTTATAATTAACATCCCTATACCCCTTGGGGAAAAACATCAACTACAACCTGTGCTGAAAGAAATGCTTTTAATTTTGAAAACTTCATGCCTGAAAGAGAGTAACTTTAATGGAGCTGATCAGATATTTTGTTTCTAAATTGATTGCCTCAATAGATTTATTATTTTGATTTTTATTTCAATATTACATTGACTGATGGAGCAAACATTATTATCTTCTCTAAGGCACAGTCAACTAAATCAATACCACTAAAATATACTCAGAGAATGAAGATTCAATTAAAACAGTGTATACTTGCAAATGCTTATTGACTCTCTGCCTTGTCACTACAGCCAGTTTCAGAAGAACTACAAAATGGGGAAGGTTTTGGCTACATCGTTATGCTTCGTCCTCTTGGCTCAACAACCTGGACAAAAGCAGTGGTGGCTTCAGTGGAAGCAAGCAAATACGTTTATAGGAACGAAAGCATTACGCCTCTCTCTCCTTTTGAAGTGAAAGTTGGTGTCTACAACAAGGAAGGAGAAGGGACCCTGAGCTCCATATCCATTGTCTACTCAGGAGAAGACGGTAACGCCTGTTGCTCTTATTAGTAGTGGTCATGTAGCACCAATAGATCCCAGATACGATCAGACAGATCTCCACAGGGAGATTAAGGATCCTGTCAAAGCTGCTCATTGAAGATTGACAAGTTACACAAGAAAGAAGATGGGAAATTGAAGTAAAAAAAGGCAAGGGGCAGATTTTCAGAATTGCTTTATGTGGACAGCATGCTTAGTTGTCCCCAAAGACCTCCCACTGAGAGGGCTAGGAAAATTGGGTGACACTCAGAAGTGTATCTCTCAGAGGGTCTAGCTTTTCAGAGCACCCATTGCTGCTGATCTCTGAAAATCTGTCCCAGCTCACGGGTACTGACCAATTTTGAAAAATTACTGTTTTGCTGATTTTCCACAATAAATGGGCAGCAAATCTAGGGATTTGCACCAGGATTTCTGAGTCTCTGCCTGCTGCTTCTCCCCAGAATCTCTTCCTCTTTTCTTGAATCTCCCTCAGCTGCTAACGTAACACTCTCTTGGTAACGTGAATGTTCCACCAGCTGTGTTTTCTCCCATGACCCAGAGCCGCAGATAGCACCAGCGGGGACTTCAGCACTCAGCGTTTCGGCGGCGGAGGTGGAGGTCTCCTGGAAGCCCATCGCATGGAACAGGCACATGGGCAGAGTGCTGGGCTATGAGGTGAGGTGGCTGGTGCTGGTGTCTGACACCTTACAGATGTCCCTTTCCCGGCCACATTTGTATTCTGGTTCCTCCTCCTTTGCTTCCAAGTCAACAGACAGTGGAGCTCTTGACCTGACTCTCATTAGCAACATTTCACCTGAGATAATCACAAGCATTTACAGACCAGGACTGCAGCTCTGTCCCAGACTTTTTGTGAAGTAAATTAAAAGCTCTAGATTAATCATTTGTGACGGCTACTATAAAAGGACTTGTGCTTGATTCCACAAAACAAAACTCAGCCTTCTCTTCTTAAACAGTTTTAACGGTGTGTGAGCACGATTAGGTACTTGATAGTTTGAGGGCGTGCACATGACCCATAGCATTGCTCACAGAAGAAACCAAGATAAATGCACCTTGTTGCTATCCAAAGCTTGTGCTGCAGTGTAATTGAAAGGCTTTTGGCTTCCCAGTCCTCTTAGAATGACTGAATCATTTAGGTTGGAAAAGACCTTTAAAATCATGGAGTCCAACCGTAAACCTAACACTGCCAAGTCCACTACTAAACCACGTTCCTAACAGCAACATCTACACGTCTTTTAAATACCTCCAGGGGTAACCTGTTCCAGCGCTTGATAACCCTTTCAGAGAAGAAATTTTTCCCAATACCCAACCTAAACCTGTCCTGGTGCAACGTGAGGCTTTTTGTAGTGAGTACTTGTGCATTTTCTAATAGTCGACTGGGTTTTTGCCCTGTGCACTGGGATGCATCGCTGGTGTCACGGCATCAAGTCCAGGGCTGGATCCAATGACAGGCATTTCAGAGTCTGAGCAGGGGGAGGTGCGAGGACGCACGGATGCTGCCAGACCCCAGCAGCACTCAGCCAGCTGTGTGGCTTCTGGCTTCGCTCTGGTCTCCAGCACCCAGCGGGAGCAGAAACCCTGTGTCGACTGCCTCTGACTTCCACAGGACAGACCAGAGGTGCCTCCAGCAGAGAAGGAGCGGGTCGATTTTTGTATTAATAGCTGAGATATACTTCAAAATAACCTCAGTATGGTTTCTGGACATTTTACTTGCACAGTGAAACAATTTTTTTTAAATTTCAGATAAGATTAACCAAGAGTAAACCAAGTCAGAACTTCAACTTCTGTCCTATCATTAGAAATGTATAAATGAAGGTTATAAGAGTCCTGTACAGTACACAAACCTTCCTAAATGAATTATTCACTAAAAAAAAACCCCACAGGTCTAAATAGCTGTCACTGAATTAAAACTAGAGGCAGAATACAAAATAATTACAAAACCTCTTAGATGACTGAGATAAATGTTTCTTTGAATCTTTTAAAGTTTTCTTCAAATGCGTTCAAACCATAAAACCAAACTAGCTTTTAAAATTTCTCACCTTATCAAAGGTTTCCTTCTGGACATCTATAAAGTTAAGGTTTTAATTTACTTCCTTAATTGGTATTCAGTCTCTGAAATTTGATTTCTTCTCTATAAATATTCATGCTTAGTTTTATTTCCTGCTAGTTTTGAATACAAAAAATCCTATATTCCTTGAAATCTTCATTGTCAGCATGTCTGCTTCCCAGTCAAATCTTTAATTGATGGAAAACAATTAATTGCCCGTTCTTCGTTCTTGCTTTTCAGGTTCTATATTGGACTGATGATCCCAAAGACAGCACAGCTGGTAAAGTCAGAGTCAATGGGAACGTAACAGCCAAAAATATCACAGGACTAAAAGCTAACACAGTGTATTTTGCAACAGTTCGAGCTTACAACACGGCAGGGACAGGGCCTTCTAGCACCCCGGTAAATGTCACCACTAAAAAATCACGTGAGTATTCAATTTTGTACAACAAATGTTGCAAACTCCCAAGTGTAAGAGTGACATTTCAGCTTACGGTGACCTACCTCTGCTAAATGTTGCAATATCAAATAAAGCTGGATCCCAAATTTCTTGAGAAAATTAAGCAACAGATTCTGTGACTCAGAAACTTCTCTCTTTCTTCCCTGACAATATTTTTGTGGTCACCATCAAGTTTGCTCAGACTCTGGTATTTAAGACTTTAATATAATATTTATCTTGAGCTTCAGTTCTGTCTCAGTGGAAGCCAATATTCTCATCAACTTAAATCAGACCTGGGAACCTTATTTCATTTACCCTATTCTATTTCTATGTTAAAGAGATTCTGTACACCTACAAAATTAGATAACACCACTGTTTTGAGTTCCTACAGTGTAGCAACCTTTAGAGAGGATTTCCTTTTGCATGGCAAGAGCACGCCACTTTCTTTCAGGAAAGTTCAAAAGAGATGCAGAGTCAATAAAGGAAAGGTGTTCCACAGGTCAAACAATAGATTTGGGTGTGGGAATATTTTTTTTCTTTTTAAAGAAAACTGTTGATGCTCCAAATACAGTGCTTTATTGACACCTCTAAATTGTCCACTGCAGAGAGTAGCATATGTGATACATTCATATAAATACTATTTGGTCACTGATTTTTTTTAATTTTCTGCACTGATAGAAGCAAAACCATGTGCTATTCTGCTTGTGTAAAGCGGCTTCATGAAACCAATGCTTTCAGGGGCCCATCCTCCAAGGTAACAAGGAATCACTGAGCACCACCCTACAAGGATTGAACCCATGAAGTAAATGTTCACGAAGAGCAAAGTAGTTATAAAGCAGGAAATCTTGGTAATCTGCTATGTACCTGAGTGCCCAAAATTCATTACTCTTTAAGCGTTCCATTTTTTATATACTTTGCTAGGACTATGTTTTACCAGCAAACAATTGACCAGCCCTTTTGCACAAAAAGGGAAATATTTCTCCTGTCTTTCGCCCGTTGTCCTCTTGTTTGTGTGCTGATCTATGCTGTTACTCAACGTGCGAGACTGGAACCAACTTGTAAAACCAGTTCCTGATAAAAGTTACTATTTAATGTAAATAACATAGACCAAAATAAAGCCAGAGAAGGTGTATCTTAAGGACTCAGACAGGACTCTTCTCACAGGCAATTTCTTAATGGAAAATAGACTAATCTCTCGAAATTATTTTCTATATTCGTGTGTGCAAACGTATGAAAGACAAGTTAAAGACATGGCAGTCAGTTGACAGGGCATATAAGGAATAAAATTGCTTTTGTTTTACATTGACTTCATCTTCTGTCAAATTCAGGATTGTGCTAATGGTTCATTTAAAAATTAAAGTCTAAATAACCCTTTTAATATTTAAAAACGTATATTAAAGTTTTAAGCTCTAGTCTCGGAAAGATGCAAGCACTTTCAATACAAGTAGAGCTAATATGTCAAGAGAATATAAACAATGTGCATCTACAGGAGGAGTTTTGCTTCAGGGTAATAGCTCTGTCTTCCTACTCATCATCCAGGATTCCTACGCTGTTCTGTGCGTGATATTATTATAGAGCCTAAGCAAAACTAAACTGGTCCTTCTGCCAAATAGGTGCAATTCTGATTGAAATGTGCTTATCTAAGATCAATTTAAGGTCTAAGCTGATAACCTGGTTGAATTTTAAACTACTTAGGAAAGTGGAAATGATGTTGGAATGGGAATGATTCCATGAACATACTGCTCCATTAGGAGCTATGGTGAAGCTCAGCTCTTCTGTTTCTTTACCTACATGTCATGGATTTCAGAAATCTCTTCGCTTTTTCTTTTTCTTTACAAAAATGTACATCAACAGATATAGATATTAGAAATACTTTACAAGGATGAACCTCAACTCAGTACAGCAACAAAACCAAAAACCTAAAGCATGAGAGTAACGTCATTAACTTAATAAACTTCAACATATACTTGGGACCTCTGCTATTCTTGACAATGTTGATACAAAAAATCTGTTGAGGAAATTATTTACTAATCTTAGATCTGAAGAACTATTTGCAGTGTTTTTGCTTGCAGATTTTAGTACAGATTTGGGGAGGTGCTACATTACCACCTATTCTGGTGCCTAGCTGTATGGCAAAACCAGAAAATTCTGTTTAGAAAATCATCCTGTGGTCATTTTTCAGCACAATGACTATGAATTAAGATGGTTTTAAGTTCTGTGCTAAAAAGCTTTGAATAAGGCAGTATTCACCCAGTTTTGAGAACTTTCAAGGCTTGTCAGAGTACACAGTCAATGAAGTATTTGACATCCTTTGCTTCTCGTATTTTGTTACCAAATTCCTTAAATAAAATATTTGCTGAAAGCAACAAAGATGTTTCAAACAATATTTAAGCAAATTTGCTGTTTCAAGTGTGTGAATATATATAAATGCCTTCTAAAAGAAAATGAATCTTTTTCCAACACTGACAGTATGATTCATGGAAGGACATCTGCTTTTTCTCACATGGATTAAACTTCTCCACCATCATGAAGCAGATAGATATAAAATAAAAGGTACCATCAATTTGTACTGTCTCCATGGGAAATGGAAGAAATTGTGGAATATTACCAAACTAACAGTACCTTCCAAGTTACATACATTAATCATCAATACATAGGAACTTTAGGGAGAAAAGAAGGATCCCAAAAGTTAAGCATTTTAAAGTAAGATGTGGGATACTCACAACACGTTTCTTCAAATCTCCCCTTCTTTTTCTAATTCTGTTGAAGTCCTTATTGCCTCTAACACCCGCAGCCCCACCCTCCCAGGCAGGATCCAGGAGGATACAGCATTGAGAAGGAGATAGTGTGTTATTCTAAATCTGAGATACAGTTCAAAGGCACAGTTTCAACTTCACATTTTTCACAAGGGATTTGATTTCAGTCACTTGTAGGCAAATTTTCAAAGTCCTGGCACGTCGGCATAAAAAGCCTTTGAAAAGCTACTCTCAGCCTATTGTGCTGAGAATTTATAAAATCCTACAATGTTTCCTGATGGATCACATGGAGACTTTAATGTGTAGCTCTTTGTAACCTGTCCTCATGGCTGATGAAGATCTTGTCTTCTGTATTTTGTTCTTAGTTTTAGCTTTTTCTGAAACCTGAACAACAAAACATTCTCTAGCACATTAAAATATGGATAGGAACAACATAGTACTTAAACAAAATCTATCAAATATAACTTGAACTGTCAGACACTGTCGGGCTTTTCCTAATTTTGAAAATGAACTCTCACAGTAAGTGGTTTCGTGCTATGAATAGATCTTTATTCTGACTAATATGAGAGCAATGATGGACTGGGAAAGATTTTTTACTCTTTTACATCTGAATCACCCATGCATTTGCTACTTCCATGTCAGCAGCTCATTCAATTACACAAAGCAAATTAATATTCCTTTGTATCTTATGATTATCATCATCTGCTTTTTTAAAGCACCAAGTCAACCCCCGGCAAACATCGCTTGGAAGCTGACAGATTCCAAAATCTGCTTGAATTGGGAACACGTAAAAACAATGGAGAATGAATCAGAGGTGCTAGGCTACAAAGTAAGTAATTTCTTTATCTCATTAACCAGACATGTTGTTTATAATAGAGGTACAAACTGTGACTTCTTAAAAGGCGACTGTACATTATGTGGAAAACAGTGACTTTTCCGGAGTTAATGGGGTGGTTGGTTGACTTTTATACAAATGGTAGAACAGCTGTGTTCATTCTGAGTAAGACCGTTCTATCCCGACACAGCGATTTTCTGTCCCCAACACTGGATCATTCTTGTCCCCTTTCCCTTGTAAGCTTACTCACCTAAGATTCTTGCATTCAAATCTTTTATGGAAGGAGTTTCACACATATATAAGAAGTAGAGAACAGTCTCTTAAGCATTAAAGAAGGGCGTAAAACACTTTCAACAGTTCCATCTTCCCATTCTTTAATGTACCTTTGAAAAGAGACAGGAAGATACTCACGTAAAGATCAATGTGAATGAAGTAAAAAGCACTTCTGTAAATCTATTTTTAAGGAAAGGAAAATTTAGTTTAAAATTTCTTTGCAGTGGCTCTGAACCCAAAAGACTTCTGGAAAGACTTTTACTCCTGAAGGACTGTAAAAATGGAGGTGGAGAGTGCTTACATGAGGAAAGGTTCTCAGCATCAAGATCCTCGTGTTGGAGGCAGTTTAGTGTCCACACCGATCTGTTTACGCCTAGGGAGGAAAAGGACACACAAAAAAACCCCACCTTGCAATCTTTCTTGAGATCATATTCTTTTCCATCTTAGTGAGTGTGTTTGAGTAGCTCCAAACACATGGCAAGAAGTTAAAACTAGTCTATTATGCTTTTTTCCTGCTTCTGGGCTACACGTGCTTATTACATTTTGATGTGGAAAGAGTGCTTTAAGTACTTGCTGTGGTATTTATTGCATGATCCCCGTTTCTTCTGCTGTTCTGCTTTTCAGTTGTTCTTCTTAGTACAAATATGTCAAAAGATTGTCAAGAGAAAGGAGTCAAACACTGTCATTGCTGCGCTGTCAAAGAAGAAAGGCTTCTTGGAGGCAAAAAGCTGTTCATAGTCCCTAGGATCCCTGTCTAGACTCCCCAAGCTGCTCTGCACCTTGGCACGATGATTCATTGGCAAAAAGGCTAAAGTGCAAGCACGCACTGGATCTGTCGTTAAGTTGTAGAAATGTGCTTCCTAAGTGGAAACCCAGATGCTACTCTCCAAATTTCTGTCCTTGAAGTTTTTGAAAACATAGCGACGTCTCTTGTTTTCTTTAGCAAGTGGTAATTTTACATGAAAGTCAACATGAATGTTTCTGTATGACTATAGATGCTCACCACAAACAGGTGAAACTTAAAAAAACTCTAAAACTTAGGTTCCTGAAGTGTCACATTAGCTCTGAACATAAAAAGTGCTACAGGCTGAAGTCTTGATTACAGGTGTGTCTAACTTCCACATCTATGGAGCAGCAGAAGTGTATTGGATAATGATTTCATAATCCTACGTTCAAGGTGAGCCTCAGTTCCAGCAGACAAAGGCTCTCCTGCAAAACACAGGGGAGTAAATACCTGCTGTGGCCTCCACAAAAATCTGCAGAATATATTTCTATGTTTTGAATTATGCTTAATACTCTGTGAGATTCTGGTAGTGCTCTGGAAAGTTTAAGACATGGTAGAACATCTCCTGAGCCAAAAAACATCCATTAGAACTGAAAGAAGATTAAATAACTCTTGTTTTCTAATCCCTTTTTACTTAGATTTTGTATAGACAAAACAGACATAGCAAAACACATATACTGGAGACAAACAACACTTCAGCTGAACTTCTGGTACCATTTGAAGAAGATTATCTCATAGAAATACGAACAGTCAGTGACGGTGGTGATGGCAGCAGCAGTGAGGAAATTAGGATTCCAAAAATATCCAGTACGTGAGATTTTTTTTTTTTCCTCAGAATATTACTGGGTAAAAAGAAATCTGCATGCCTCTAAGAAGTACAATGGATTAACAGACTTTCCATTACTGCAGGTGGCCTCTCTCCTGGTGCTTTTTAATTCTGGGTACACGTAGATTAGTCTCTGGTGCTCTCGCATTCATTAACGGAGAAAATATTTTGCACAACACCTAGAAGTGACCTTATTTTTAGTGAAGGTCTCCATCTGCCCTGGCCTGTGATGCTCAGGGGAGGATAGAGAAATAAGCTTTCTTATTAAAGTCAAAGCTGTGTCTCTCACATGTAATGCGGATCTTAATCTGCTCTGGAGCTGATGCTGCTGCTGCTGCAGCAGAGAACCTCAGCCCTGCTCCACGGCTGGAGTGGGGTGGCCCAGGGTCCAGCTTCTGCTCTCATAAATATCCTATTATTCACGCAAAAATGGAGCATAGTTTTACAAGAAACTAGCCAAAACCCTCCTGAAAACAGATATCCACAGGGAGGGTGGGAAGGTGATTTGAAACCATACTGCATGGAGATGCTGCTACAACTTAAAAAATAAATAAATGCGAATAACATGTGTGAATTATGATTCATTTTGAAAATAGAATGAAGATCACTGTTATGCTAGAAAGCATAGAAAAATATTTTTTGACACGTTTACTTTTGTCAGAAAATTATGTGTGCTTATATTTTCACAGGTTTAACGTCTGGAGGAATAAAATTGTCCCAAAGGGAGAACCATAGATTGACGTCAGGGATCCTGCTGTTGAGTTCTGCTCTTATATACCCTTTCCCTTGGTGATTAAAGCAATGATCAGCTATGGACTTCTAAAAATAAACCACTTGTAGATTTTATCTTAATACTTCACCATGTCCAACATTCCTGACAGAGAAAAAGAGTGGGGATGGGGGAGGGAGATAGAAGTGGTATACTATTAAGAAAATATTCAGTATCAATGTTACATTAATTTTTAAAAATAAGCTTTGAAATTGATGGATAAGTGTATACGCATTAATTAAATGGAGTGGTGCCAAACATAACTTGAGATTGTAAGGAGAGTGGTCTCAAATTTTTCACAAGCAGTAGTTCTTATTGAAACTCCAGTGTAATGGCGTGTCAAACATGAAAGACCCTTGCCAAACTGTTCTAATTGAGAGAAGAGACCTGCAATTGCTTGTGATGTGGATATTATTTATCTCACGTTCTTCAATGTCACCTGTAAAAAACTCCCACTTTCAATTAAATAAAAGCTATTTGTTTACTTTTTTGCACCTGTTTGTATTACAAGCAGCCTCATACAATCCATTATATGAAGTGTACTATACTATTTTCTTCGGGAAAGGGAAACTTAAATACAAAGAATCATATGTACCACCCCAAAGCCCGTTGAATTCAATACTGAGACTTTCAACGGCATCAGCAAGCCTTGAACCAGGTCTAAATGAGACAGTACCTTTTGTAATATGAGATACCTTCTACATTCTCAATACATTAAGAAGAAACTTTTCACACAAAGAGTATTCTGATCAACAGAACTAGCAGAGATGCTGAACACCTTTTTTGAAGGGAGATTGAAATATATCTGTCTTCAAGCATGTTCAGTTTCTCTCTCACCCGATATTGTTATTCTTTGTGGTAACTTGAAAGTGTAGACTCATCTTTCAGCTGGGTTTGAAGGTAAATGAGAAGAACATTGATTTTCATCACCTTGAAATATAAATAAAAGCATCTAATTAAGCCCTTCAATCTATTGAGTTATTACAATGGCAAATTAAACACTAGAATGAGCATGGATTTCGAGTCAGTAGATACAGCTCAAAATGTGAAGTCACACTCAAGTCATCTGTAACAACATCTGATGAAACGTATTTTTTTTGTCTCGTATCATCACTGGGGGGTCATCTCTTCCTTCCCACTTTACTCTGAAGTATAGTTTCTTTTCATCACTGTCAAACATGTGTTTTGTCATCTTTGTAACCATTTCCACCTGCAAGTGAATCAAATATCCCCCAGGATTTTTTAAAACAAAAACATTCAAATGGGGATGCTGATGTGTAAGGACACAAAGGAGCAAAAGGATAGTGGTTCATCTCTGCATGATAATCCTTCAAACAGTGGATTAAATGCATTTCTTATCCATGGGTATGGGAGGTCAAATTGGCAGCAAGAGAGTCTAAAATGTGACTTCATACGGGAAGCTACCAAAACTTTGGTACCTGAGATTACTCACAGAGCCCATGCGCTAGACTTCCAGGGAGAAGTCCACACACACTGACGTAAAATAAAAGCATAAAAGATAAAAACATTGCAAGAGCACATGTTACAGAACAATGTCCAATTTTGATTTAAGGACTACAGAGGGTGGAAAGGACATGAAGTCCCTAGGACAAGGCGTTTCACTTGGAGTTGCACTCACTGTTAAACGTTTGCATCATGTCTTGACACTGTGAAAACCAGAAGAGCGTGTGTTTTGTGTTCTTATGGCTGTGCAGCTGCAGTCTCACTGAAGAAGTGACTGTAGAGACTTGGGTTTTTTCTTTACCTTGGATAAGCAAATATCACTCACACCTGGTGCTGTTTAATCATCCCCATACTGAATTCAACAGAACCTTTCCCAGAGCTGACCACTAGCTGGTGGAGTTCTGACAGAGCTTTTTGCATCATCCCTTCCCAGCAGGTCTCCAGCAGGAACTGCCCTCTGCCATGGCCACTCGCTTGCAGACCTTCTTGTGTCCATTAAGCAAAGAGGAAAATTTTTTATTTCAGTTAAACGGAATCTAAAATTCTTATATTTTATAACATAAATGCAATCCTTCTGATAAGTTTAAACAAAACAGCTCTTTTTATTCAAGTGAAGAGAGATTTTCTGCAGAGCAGTTAAATACAAGTGAAAAGAAGGCCTGATAGACGCTTAATTACAGGGAGGCTCCAGAAATATAATGCCACTTTTAGAAGCCTGTCCTCTGGGATTTCTACAGAGATGCTAATCACAGGAGTTATTAGGGAGAGGTTTAACACAGCTTTCGAAAGAAGAGAGCAGTTTAGAAAAAAGTGGAGAAAGTATTAAAAATCTTGATAATACCCTAATGAAGTAAATACATTCTTCTTTGCAGTGAAACTAAACAAGGACCAATTTCTTCAGGTTTGTTGTAATTTCTATGTGCATTACTGATGTTCTTTGCAAGGTGTTTTTCTCACTGTAGAAGACACTTTTCAAAATCAGGGTCTTCATGCCTCCAGTGTTTAACTTCATCACTTCTGCATTAGTCCTGTTTTGTCATTCTCATGGGAGTAGCCCTTCTTAAAGCAAGCGACAACCTAAGAAGACCTCTAGCATGAGTAAGGCTATTCCCAACCTAGGAAGACCTCTAGCATGAGTAAGGCTATTCCCTTGCTGAACACCCTTAGAGCTGGAGCACAAGTGGATTGCCAAGAGACTGTTCTGCCTTGGGAGAAGAACTTTAAGCAGTCTTAAACAGAATACCTTTAAATACAGATAGAATGACAGCCCCCCCATCCTCCCTAAATCAATGTAACCCTCTAACCTATGCAGGTCCCTTTTCTTTTCTTTGGTTCCCCAATTCTTTTTTTGCGTTTTGCCACGATGAACTGGTGTCTGGGCTGCCCAAAGCAGTGAAAGTCCAGCTCTCTTTTTTACACGAAAATGTTATTAAAGTACCTGATGCTGAAATAGAAAGAGTTCAGATGACTGGCAGCTTTCATTAAAAGAAAAAAAGGGTCAAAAAATAGTTTTGTGGCTCACAGTTGCAAGCAAATGTTTGAAAATAGGAACAATATAAATCCCCTAAAACCAGAAGTTGAAAAGAAAATAATGGAAAAAATAAAACAAAAAACTCTACAGTGCTCCTGATTTTTAGCAACTAGGAAGCTGAATTAAAAACCACTTTTAACAGGCCCCAATGGAGGGAACCTTGGGCCCAGTCTCACCAGATTTTAGAGGCACCAGATCAGGTCTCAGACCAGCCTAAGTTTTCAAATAGCTGGAAGAGCAATACCTATTTTACTTTGAAAACCTAAGCAAAGTACCAAAAAATGAAAAAGAGTCACAGTCAGAGATTTTTATTTTAAATTTAGCACATCAAGAAAATATTTCTCCATGAAAAAAGCAATTTTGAGTCTATCCAAACGTTTCAGTTCACTCTAAACACAATGTTTCTTTGTGATTTAAGAGCATTTAAACTTTTTTTAATGCCTTCTCTTTTCTTTATAGGGCAATTTTTGAATACATATGCCAAGAAACTAAATAAAATAGCCCATGTGTGCTATTGTACCAGCCCCTAAATCAACATTATCCTGAAGTGCAGAAACACCCTGTGTTTTCTGCAGGTTGTTGGAATGTAGCCCTGGTGACAACTTGACACGGAGCTCTAAATCACACTTACGTATAAAAATGTTGTAAAAGCAGAAAAACATTTTATTAATGTCTGACTGTACTGCAGTTGCAGAGAATTTCCCCCAATGATTTGCAGAGCCTATGTGGAAGAGGGAATTAATCTGCTCAGAGAGGTTTTGGGACGCACTGGGCTGCCATGGGCTGGTGTCCGGGGATCCTGCCTCCCTCCCTACACCCCTCCACAGATTTTTGTCCTTTCAAGGAGCAAGTGTTCAACTGCTCTTTGCCTTTCCCTGGGCAAAAACTAGGGCAGAACTCGTCCTACTCTGAATAAACCAATGTGTTTGATCCCCTCCAGCACTGATATTTCCAAGGCACCGTCCCCCACAGTTTCCCTCAAAGTTCCAGAGAGTTGCTACATCTCAGTGCTCCTGAATATTAGGTTTCAAGTGCTTCTGTAGGCGTAGCCACAACATGGCCTTCGGGTGAACACGGATTGAGGTACGATAATACTAGCAGTGGGCTATTGAACTATTGCCACCAGGATGACAAGCTCTTCAAAGCACAGGTAGTGTGGGATCAGGCGTCACCTCACAGTCTGTGCATTATTTATGCCAAGGAGTGGTCCAACCTCCCTCAGCCGTTGAGCTGGGACAATGTCTGTACGCTGCCTTCTGCTACTGAGCGTGAATCAAGGGAGGGCTGCCACTTACAGGGTTCTTACAGGTCAAGAGTGTAAAAGAATGGCAAATGATGCATTCAGAAATATCTGCCTATCTAAAAAATGAAACAAGGTTGCAGAGACTTACTCTATATGTACATATATATATAATGCCCCTAGTCATCTTCAGAGTATGTATAAGAATTTGACATTTCTCTTGCTCTGACCATTATCTAACCCTAAAAGGTCGGGGGGGGGGGGGGGGGGCGGAGAACAACATCAGTGCTATTAAAATAGCTTGGATAAAGTCTTTCTTGGAGAAATTTACCACGTAGAAAAGGTCAGTTGGAGATTTTGACAGCATGGTACAATAAAGGCCTCTAAATGGCTTCAATCATTTGGGATTTTTTTAATACGAACTGCTTTTTATCACTTCCTAGCACTTAGTGCTTGAAGATATGCCTGATGTAGCAATTAAAATGTCATATTAATAATACTGTTATATACAATTTCTTAACTTATTCTATATATGCCAGTATATTTCTGTACAGAAAAACAACTACAAGTATTTCCTGTCTTCAGAGAATGAATTGGAGTAATTCTGAAACACAAAATGATACCAGAGGACTCCTTAGAATATGCAAGTTGTTTACAGGAGGCATTCAAATCTCTAGAATTTTTGCTCTTGAGTAAATACAGCTTTCTATGGACGGTGTGGGAGGTGGGCCAAGTTGATTAAGGCACTGGCTTGGACAGTGCCATGCAAGGCTCCAGTCTCTGCCCTGC